GGCACCATGTGAGGTCCTGTAAAATATTTAACACAGTCATTTTTCCTTTTTATTTGCAGTTCTAAACTTATTTCCAATTGTGAAGTGAAGGACTTTATTACATTAGTTATCTGTCCTGACTTGCCTCTTTATCCACTAATCTCTGTATCTTAAACATTTTTATTCATCTTTCTACAGTGAAAAGTCTCTCTTTCATCCATGTCCCCAGCAATTCTTTTCCCAGAGGCAACCAGTGTGTTATTTTCCTATATATCCAGGTGCATTTTCTGTATCAAACAAATATGTGCGTGTGTATATATTAACCCCCCATACATATTTTTCTGCACCTTGCTTTTTTTCACTTCCTCGTTGTTTCTTATGTCTGCACACTACTCCACTGCATGGACATATCACAATTTATTTAATTATGGACATTTCCTTTAATTTTAGTATTATGCTATTCATAAGAAAGCCAAAATATAGTCTTCTATTCAATATATTGGTGGGATATCTTCCTAGAGATGAAACTTCCATGTGCATTTGTAATTTTGCGTAAATATTGCCAATTTGCCCTTCATAGAGGTTGTGCCTGTTTCCCCACAGATTTGCCAACATGTGATGGTGATCTTTGCAAATCTGAAGGATGAAAAATGTCATCTCACTTTAGTTTTCATTTTCTTTTCTCTTATTATGAGTGAGGTTGAGAATCTTTTTCTATGTTTTAAAAGCCGTTTGTATTTCCTTTTCTGTTTCTCTGGGCTACTGTGATTTATTACTTAAATAATAGGGAAATAGGACATTATATATTAGGGAAACTGGCCCTTTGTCAGTGAGTTGCAAATAATTTTTTCCCAGTTTGATATTTGTCTTCCCATTTTGTTTGTAGTAGCTTTTGTCAGGGAGAAACTTTTATTTTATAGAATTATCTCTATGGGTTCTGGGCTTTGTGCTATGCTTAGGCTTTCCCCACTTCTGAGATCATTTAAAATTTTTTCACGGTTTCCTCTAGTACTTTTATGATTAACAAACATTCTTAATCATTACAAGTTCTAAATGGTGTAGTGCATAGGATCAAGTTCCCTGTTTCAATTTTTATCAGAGCTAGACTAGAAATCAGTCTTATGGAAATATAGAAGAGTAGTAAGGAACTTGGACTCCGGAGTCAATAATTTGGGCTTTTCTGCTTCTGGGCTGTATGACCTTGGGCTTGCTACTTACTCTCTGAGCCTCAAAGGCTTCATCTGTAAAATGGAAATAATAAACAGTACTTTGTTGTGAGAATTGCATGAGATGATTCATTTAAAGCCCTTAGCACAATGCTTGACCAGCTGGAAGCATTCATTAAATGTAAATGATTACTGTGATAATAATGATGGCCATAGACTATTCTTTCAACCCCTACTACCATCCCATAATTCATGACTTTATTCACAAGAGGTTGAATAAAAAAATGCATTCCAAATTTGCCAACATTACCACTTCAGCACTAAGAAGCTAGTCTCCTCTAGGCATAGTAGTTCTCAACCTTCACAGTACATTAGAACCACCTGGGTTCATTTCAAAACTCCGAATGCCTGGGTCCCTACTCTAGCGATTGCTTTAATTGGTCTGGGGCATGGCCCAGGCACCAGTGTTTCTCAAAAACCCCTCTGGTGCTTTCAATGGGCAGCTAAGGTCTAGAACCACTATCCCGACACTAGGGCAGTGGTTTCAGATACGAAGGGAAACATATTCATTGCTTCTAAAGAAAAGAATCTTTTCTTTAGAATATCTTTTATGGGTAAAACGTCATGAATTCTTCAGGAAGACTTTAAGAAGAGAACGTAGAAGAGTTGAAACAGGTGTTAGAGATACTGAGGAAAGGAGTTACGAAGTTGAAGATGTTCCTTGTATATATTTAAAGGACATCTTTCTCAGAAGGGTTCAGGGAAGCTATACTCTAAATACTTTTTTACAACTGCTACTTAGAGGTAAGGGACATGAAGTGTTTCTGTGTGTGAGATGTATTAACTGAAGCATGGCGATAGGACTCGTCAGCTGTTGAATTAGACAAAGTTAAGATTCTTATTACCCCCATCGCTTTCCTGGATGATTCTCGAAAATAAATGTTTGTGATCATGAGCAATATATCTTATCCCCTTACACATTTTAACACTTTAGGGAGGATTTGGAATGGTATTTTAGCTTATTTATGGATACAGTGTAAGTAGGGTACACAAGAAAATTAGATATTATCAGATCCAAGGAAAGAGCCGTGTAGTCTAAAGAGACTGGACAAGCAATCAGGAGGCCTAGATTCTAGGCCCTGAGCTTCAGCTTCTTTAGCTGCAAAAAAGAGAATTAAGAGTTCCCAAAGGTTTCCTTCAGCTCTAAGTAATTACTGTCGCACCAAACCACCTAAGTAAAGCCTTTCTTAATCAGTCAATAAAAGACAGGAAAAGTATTCTAGCTCAAGCTTTTAAAATACATCTTCATAGTCTTGTTTTGTCTTTACCTATCTAAGGCAGTATACCTTCTCAAATATTAAACTATGTCTTGTCAATATTAGATTAATATATGTCTTGCCTAACTAGTTTATTTACATTTTGCATTTAAGTGGGGGCCATTGGTGTCTTCACCCAGAGGGGTGACTGATGTGGGGGAGGGGAGTGCATCTTCAAAGAGGCAAGGATATGTGGGAACATATCTGTTGCTCTTCAAATCATGCCCGTGGATACCTTAATTTAGGTCTGATCCTGGGTCCCTCTTCTACGTTTTCTTCTAATCTTTTCTTTTTCTCTTTTGCATTTTGTTGCTCATGATCGACTCACACAATTCTTGTATTGGATGATCTGTCTCAATGTCATCTCTTCTCTACAAGACTGTACATGTTTTGAGGCCAGGATACATTTATATTGTACCCCTTACATGAGCTACTACAGCGTGTTGGCACAAAAAAGGAGCCTAAGTGTTTAATTGAATTAAATTGTTAAAAAATTAAATGATTTCAATTTCATTGTCTTCTCTATTTTTTTCCATGATACTTTTTCATAGTTTCCTTTACAATATATCCAATTTCTTTTACACAAAGTCCTATTTCATGACAGTATCCTTTAAATACTTTCTGAATACAGCAATGAACTTTTCACCCTCAAATGCCTAGAAGTGGTGGTTAATAAAGCAAGAAAGTAATCATCATACCAAAATATGAAATAATACATTAGGTAAGGTTTTAGTAGTAAATGTGTAGGAAAACTTTAAGAGGAGTGTTATTTTGAAGTAGCTTAGGTATGCTATCAATTTGATCAAGTATTATAAACACATCAAACTAAACTTTTAAATATGACAATTATAATTTACTAAAGCTATTCTGAATTCACAATGAACAACTAAGTATAACGTTTATTAAGTATCACAAACCGTTAAAAGAAATCCTATGTATGTAACTCAGAGAATTGAGTTATGATAGTATTGAAATTTGAATATGGTAGAAGGAAAATTGAGTATGATAGTATTTTGATGAAGTAGGATAAAATTTCAAGTTAGTATAAAAAAGAATCCAATTGTTTAAAATTTTGTATTGAATAAAAATAAAATCAATGTAACTATTTTTGATCGTGATTTTAACAAAATTATTTTAACAGCTTATCAAATAGTGAGAGCTAAGAAATATAAATACTGTATATTCAGAGAAAATTTCACCTGTTTTTCACTTAACAGTTAGGTTGGGATTTTGAATTGTGAGACAGATGCTTCAATGTCGGTTGAAAATTGTCCATCCTCCTTGTCCCCCTTTTTGAGTTTACCTTTGTGGGCTCTAAATTTTTCACCTGGAAAATTAGATACTATCTAGGTAGGGAATTCTAAATGGTCATTCAGTGTACTAGTTGGAGGTCAGTTTAAAACACCAGATTTTTTAATGCATAATTTTTGAAGAGTTTACACAGCTTAAAGAATATACTTGCTACTGAGGGCACTTCTAAGCCTCTGTGACTTCTATATTCATACAGTAAGGTACATTAATTTTATTAATGATCTTTAAAACACTCAAAGCATATAGTGCCTTTCACAAAATTTTATTTTGCGAGCATTAATGATTTTTAAAACACTCAAAGCATATAGTGCCTTTCACAAAATTTTATTTTGTAAGCCACCATAAAAGTATCTTGAAAGCTAAAAAATGGTAACTCTTGAGATTTGGATTCCTTACATTTTCTGCTCCAATGTACACAAGTACTTAATTTGAAGATGTAAAGATGATCCCACATTGTTTCTATCACAGTATTGGGAATTAATTTTTTGTTGAATGACTGTTCCTCAACCTTACTGTCTTTTAGACATTCTCACACGATAATCTGCAAATAAGCAAATGTCAAGGGCAGTAGTGAAAAAGACCACTTTTAAAAAGCTGGCAAACATTCGGAGTTATTTGTAGTTTCGAAACTTCTTTTTAATTCAAAAGTCACGTGTTATGTGCATTAAAATTAGTTTCACAAATGACAATTATAGATAAAGAAAAGTTGCTTTAGGGGAAATTCACTAGCAAATCTATAATCTTTAAAATTCTGAGTGATTTAAATATTGATCCTTTGCAAAATATTTTCAGTCGTATCCTAAATACTGCTTTTTAAAGGCGTTTTTTAGTTTTAAATATGTGGGGGTCCCACAGGCAGGATGACATTTTCTAGTATACACTTTTTTGGTCTTTCCTCTGCTAAGTCTGACTGAATTGTCCTAAGTATTAAAGAGAAATGCTGTCAAGAAAGGTGTTTTCTTTTCAAGATGGATGTTTACACAAGCGAAATAATGTTTTAGACACGAGAATTCCAATTTTGAAGAAGAAAATATCAAAATACTTTTTATTTCTTATTCCTCATTTCCCTTCCCATCTTTAAAGTACAAGTTAAATCTTAACTGGAATCCTTTCCCCATCGTGTAACCGAGCGACGGTGCCAGACTTGAAGAGGAAAGCTTTACTTTGTTCGACATGTGTTTACCAACCCCAGCGCTTTCCCCAGATCTTTTGGCCGATAATCTCAAACATGGAGGATGCTTCTGATTCTTCACGAGGGGTTGCTCCATTAATTAATAATGTAGCTCTCCCAGGCTCTCCGCCGTCTCTTCCTGTATCAGTGACAGGCTGTAAAAGTCATCGAGTAGCCAATAAAAAGGTAGAAGCGAGAAGTGAAAAGCTCCTCCCAACAGCTCTTCCTCCTTCTGAGCCGAAAGTCGATCAGAAACTTCCCAGGAGCTCCGAGAGGCGGGGAGGCGGCGGTGGGACGCGATCCCCCGCGCGGAGCCAGGCCGTGGCAGCGGGAGCAGCGGCGGGCGGCGCGGCGGGGCCGGCGCGCGGCGACCCCCGGAGGACGGAGCCTCCCCTCCTGCCTCTGTGGCGGAGCGGCGGAGGGGCGGCCGTCGGCGTGCTCGCAGGTGAAGGGCTCCGTGGGGTCGCTGGGCGCCGGCCGGCGCCGGCGGGGAAGTGGAGGCGAGCGGGGGAACAAAGCGGAGCGGCGCCGGGGGCCGCCCGCGGCCGGCTCCCTCGCGGTGTCGGGCGGGCCGGCGGCGCGCCGAGCACGTTGTGAGCCCCGCGGCAGCGGCGGCGGCGGTGGGCAGGGAGCCGGCGCGGGGGGAGGGGGCCGCCGCGCTCCCGCACCGCCCGCTCGCGGCGGGGCGTTCGGCCCCATTGTGAGCCGGCGGCCGGGCGTGCGGAGGTGGGGCGCGCCGGGAGGGCAGAGGCGGCGGCTGGGGCTCCGCTCGCTCCATACGCCGGCGGCGACAGGGGCCACCTCGGGCCCGGTGGCGGCCGCGGCGCGTCGGTCACACAAAAGGCAGCGGAGCCTGCCCGGCGCGCGGACCGGCCCCCGCCGCCGAGCGCTCCCCACCTTACCGGCTGTCGTTTCCCTCCACTTCTGATAGGGGAGCGGCGCCGACGCGGGCGGGCGGCCGGGGTCTGGGAGAGCCTGCGGGCGGCCGGGAGATGCCGCTGCTCCACCGAAAGCCGTTTGTGAGACAGCCGCCGCCCGCGGACCTGCGGCCCGACGAGGAAGTTTTCTACTGTAGAGTCACCAACGAGATCTTCCGCCACTACGAGTAAGGGCCGCGCGGCGCGGGGGTGCGAGGGCGTGGGGGAGCCCTCCCGGCCGCCTTTTGTTTCTCTCCCGTCCTCGCCCCGGGCTCCTGACGGGGCGACTTGAAAGTGACGGGTGGCCGCGGGCCTGAGCTTCTCCGGCCCCCGAGCCCGAAGCGGTGACTGCGCGGGGCCCCGGGGCGGCCCAAGCGGCCGCGGGGTGCGCGGGGAGAGCGGCCGCGGGAGGCAAGGCTGGGGGTCCCCGCCGGCCGTGGGGACCGCCTCTCGCCGCGGCGGCCGCCCGGGCGGCGGAAACTCCCCGCCTCGCCCCTCCCCGCCGCGGCCACACGCGCGCTCCGCGGCCAGTTCCGGGATCCCCGCCCGGCGGCCGAGGGGATCCCCGCCCGGGTCAGCGGCTCGGGGCCGCCGGCCCCCGGCCCCGGGAGGGAATCCCCGCCCCCGGGGGGCAGGAAACGGCCAGGCTGGGCGCCGCTTCCCCGGTGGAGTGGAGCCTGACGAGGGAGCTGCCCAGGGTAGGGTCGGGGCGGGCGGGAGCGGAGGTGAGACTCGGGGCGGGGGGCGCTCCCGGGGGCGGGGGCCGGGGCCGGCGGCCTCCCGTCCGGTGCGGCTAGGCCTCGGAGTGCGCGACGCCAGCCGTGCGCTCTGTCACCGCCTCTTCTGGGTGACTAACTCCGGGCTGCGGAGAACTCGGCGTCTCCGCCCCCGGGAGACCGGGTGAGGAAGAAGTCGGGGCTAGGCGGGGGAGGAGGAGGGGAGGGAGCAGGGCCCCGGGCGCCCCTGGTCTGCGCTCCGGCGAGCCTGGAGGCCGGCGGGGGGAGTTGGGGGAGGGGGTTAAGACAAGTTCAACTGCAGCCTCAGCCAGCCTCCTCTTTATCCCCCCGCGCATGTGGGCCGCCTGACATGTGCCACTCGCTATTGTTTTGATAAGAATCCGGAGCCGCTGCGAGTGTAGTTTCAGCCCCTAAATTTTCAGTCCCTCGCCTGGTTTATCCCGAGAGATCCCCTTGTCCTGTGACACCAAGCAACGGGGTGTTTCAGATATCTGTGTTTAAACAGGATCTCCAAGTGAGAACCTGAATTGATCAATCACTGAAACAGCCTGATCCTCCCTTTTTCTTAGGCTTTATCCTCTCCACTTGTGGCTTAGGAACCAAGTGTTATAGCAACCAAATAAATTGCGTGTAGGAGGCACCTTTTCTGAGTCGGGGCCTGATGGAGGGAGGGCTTTAGCCGAACTCTGCACCTGTCTGAGAAATGAGTAGTGAAGTTAGAAAAGTCAGTTCCTTTGAGGTTTTATTTTAAGGAGGCCTTCTTTTTCTTCAGGTCCACGGAAGGAGGTACACATAAACGTGTTCTATCTAGAGAAGTTTTTCAACACAGAGTACTTTTATATAGAAGTGCACATCTTAACTCTGCTCCTGTACAGACTTGTTTTGTTACTCAAATAGAGTTCAGTTTTGTAACTACCTACGTGAATTTGGATTAGGTAATTTGACGAGGATGATGTCTTATTTTTTTTAAAGTTTAAAATCCTTGGTAATAACTCTGAATATTTAAGAAATGGTATTTGATTGCCAACGAAATAGGAAACGGGCTTAAATTTCAAAGTCTTCTTCTTTGATGTAAGCAACCTTATCTTAAGAGGCTCTTCTCACTTTAGAAGGGAGAGTGAATATGACTGTTATCCTTTTTGAGTTAAACACTTTTCATATACTTGGTTCTTGATGATTTGCTATAATCTTGGAGAAATCTGAAATGCCAAAATAAAGGAGGAAATTTTTGGTATTCCAAACCTACTACCTTTTATTGATATTAAGGAACTGTGTTCTTTGTAGTCTTATGATATTAAAAATTCATTAAAAATAGCTAGTTTTTTGGGTTTTTTTCTCTGTACTGAAGTGTTTGGGTTTTCGGAAATTACAAACAGTTCAGGAGAGGCGATTGGTTTGGGAGCAAAGATATTTAATCATTTACCCTGAACAAGGCAGGGCTCCTAGTGTTCTTAGGTCTTAATCTCTATGACTTTGAATTGGCAAAATTGGAAGAAAACTGTCATTTAATTGTATTAAATTTGGCATTACTTATTCTTTCTCCTAGATGATTACAAAGAGATCTTTCCAAAAATGCATTCGTGGTGGATCATATATAGTGGTCTGCAGTATTATGGTAATCTGAGCCTCAGCACAAGTCTTGGGAAACTATGAAGGAAACTTCTGTTTTCATTCATTCATTAAATTACCAATTGGTTTATATGAATCGGAAGATTATCCTTTAAGTGCATTCTTCTTTTGTATTTGTCTGAAGACTGCTATGCTCACCTTTTTGCTCAGGTTTTTGATTTCGTGAATAGAACTTTCTCTAATCAGTCTGAAAAATATTTTCTACAGTTCCTGGCCTTGTTCACTTCCCAGCACAATGCAAAGTAACTTTTGCCTCTAACTCTGGTTGGTAGAGGTTGCCAGTGACCTTTTAGTTGCTAAATAGTTTTCTGTCTTTATTTACTTGATATTATAGCCTAACACTTCCTCCTTTGTCCTACTAGGCAGCAATGATCACCTCCTCCATTTTATCTAGTGTAACATCTGCTGTTATTGCACTGTAACGCAATGTATTTATTGCCTCACATTTTCTCTTTTCCTAGACGCTGAATTCTTTGAGACAGAGACTGTGACCAGGATGGATCCTTAGTGATTATATAGTGCAGACTCCTTTATTTTGTTTGTTTGAACTACATGCTCTTTAATTGCTAACTCTTCTTTGACCTGCTTTCCATAAGTAAAGAAGACTCCTTAAAAATTGCATATTAACTGTAGGCAAATGCATAAACTAAAGTGCATAATTTAATCTCTAAATAAGATAAAACTTTATTCTGTAATTTGGATAGCTGAGAACAATTTTGTTTTTACTTTTTTTTTTTTGCCTGTGGATTGTTAAAAAATGGGAGGAGTCTGAATACCAGAAATTCTAGATTTATGGGATAGGAAAATGATTTGTTATATTACCCAGTGACTTAATCTAAATAAAATAACTCCTTTTTTTAGCCATTTAGACCCTTGGAATTAGAAATAGAATGTATTTCCCATCTTTGAGTGAGTCACACTTTTCATAAAAAATGTAGTAATCTCTTCTACAACATCACTGACAGACCACCGTTTGATTCAACCTGGCTTTCCAGTGAAAAGTGTTTGATTAGTTTCTAAGGCATCCCATTTTCATTGTTCATCAGCTCCTCACTTGTTAATTCAGTCTTTTCAACAGCCCCCTCTCTGCAGATGAGGAGATTGGGGTTGGGGTAGGGAGAGTAGATCCAAGATCAGTGTCGAAAACCAGCTTATCTAGCGCTTGGTGACACTGAAATTCTGACACGTATCTAAGACTCCAGAGTTTATGTTCTTCTTTACTAATGTACGGTGCTTATTATGGAGAATTCTTCCTAATGTTTGTTGAAGTTTGCAGAAGTATGCACCAAGAACTTGGGAGCATTGCTTGGAATTCAAGCTGGCTGCCTAGATCTTGGTGTAGGTACCCCTCTCTACCGTCTGCTCAGACATTTGACTTCTTTACTACACCCCCAAATGATGAAGCTCTAGATATTAAGTGTACAAACCAGAATGCCATCAGTTTACAATGGGGAAAAATGCCTTTCACACAGACTAGTTCCCGTACTGATAATCAGCTATGTATGAAATCTTACTTTCAGAAGGCCATTTGGTGAGCATGGAATTTTCAAGGAAAGTTGGATAACCTTCATAGCTTCAAATTAGGTGTTCAGCTCCTCTTTAGGAGTAAATCTGTCACATGGCCCAGATGTTTGGATCCATGAGTCCTTTTTCCTTGGACAGTATAGCAGAAGTTCTTAAATTCTTTTCTTTCAGAGTTTTTCCTTTTATCTGCTTAGCAGCCTACCGTGTTTTGTGTTAATACTTTCTTTTTTCAGACAGAAAATATATATGTCAGTTATTGTAGTGTAACAAGTTACCCTAAAACTTAGTGGCTCGGCATAACCCATTTTATTTGCTCACTGTTGTGTGGATGCCACTGTGGTTTCTGCTGGATGGAGTAACAGGTGGCCTCAGTCATATATCAGGGACCTCACGTGAGATGGCTTTTCTTTCTTTGTGTATTTTTTTCCAGCTTTAGTGGGGTATAATTGACACATAGAATTGTAAGATATTTAAAGTATGTAAGGTGATGAGTTAGTTTGCTGGGATGGCTTTTCTTGCGATGTGGCCTTTCATCCTCAGAAGGCTCATCTGGGCTTGGTGCTGGTCTCAGGGTTCCAAGAAGGTGAGAGCTGAAGTCTCTCAATGCCATTTCTGTATTTTGTTGGTCAGAGCCAGTCTCACAGCCACCCTAGATTCAAGCGGTGGTGGAGTAGACTCCACCTCTTGTGAGAAGAGTGTCGAAGTCATATTTCTAAGGAGTCTGCACACCTTCAACCCTCTGCAAACAGTCTACCACTAAGCAGTTGATGAGATTTTATGCTTGGGTCATCCTGATTGGATTTTGGGTGTTCGCTGATAAGCCCTCTGAAGTTAATCCCTCTTTCTAGCCTCCTTCTCAATGACAGACTTTTTCTTCCAAGATTATCAAGTCTTGTATGTGTTCCTCTGACATTGTTCCTCTACCTTACTGCTTAT